TTGTGACAATCCAGTGCTCAGATTTCTCTTCTGGAAATTTATGCAAAATAGTGCATATTTAAAATAAAATTTTCAGGGAGAAAAAATATCAATTGGGGAAGTATGGTGATATTTATTAGTTAATTTATTCACCCTATTTACCTGGGGTGTCTTGCCTTAAACCCCTATAAGCTACTTATCTAAACCCAAAACTGTTCTGAATTTTTATAAAAAATAATAATGGGGTTTTATAAAGGGATAGATGTAATTAAAGATCACTTTTTTGGCAGGTGCTTGAGGTGAACAGCAGTGCACCACAGAAACGTTTTAATAAGTGGCTTTTGGCAAAGGCGCAGTTTGAACCCAAGCCAAGCCACTCAACTGAATTCACACAACCTCCTCCCAACATTTAGAATGCTATTCTGAAGCAATAAACTCTGCCTTTTTATAGGCACATCTAATGTGTTAAAGGCAGTGTGCATCTGTGAATGCAGCACACAAAATCCAGTTTTAAATAGTGGATTTATAACACACAAAGTATGTGACATGTATAACTTCAACAATTTTTTTTTAACTCACAGTTTGTATAGCATTTTTGTTTCAATGGTGCTTTGCTAGTGTTGTCAAAAGTGTTGTGGTGGTGGTTCGTGCGCTACAAGTGTATTAATAATTGCGAATAACATGCCTTACTCCTGGGCTTGAATCTCAAGTGCCTCTGATGTCTCTTGAATCTGTATTTGCAATGTTTCAGAGAGTGAGCCAGTCGTGTAACCTCATTACTATCTCTTAAGCGGTTCCCATGACGATGGCGTGTGTAAGAGCTGTGGGCAAATCTGAGGGCGAAAGCATGGGCCTCCACATACATGACACTTCCTTCCTCAGAACAGAACGAGAACAGAAGTGCACATATGATTTCACGTGTTTGGCCCTGACCTCCCGTATTCTTGAGGATATTGTGCCATTGAGAAGACTTGACAAACAACAGATAGAACAAATAGAGAAGGCAAACAATTTACTATACATACACAAAGTTTCTTCCTTAAAATTAGAAGATGTAAGGCACAAAGCATTGGTACTTCTAACAAAAAGTGAGAGTAAATATAATATCCATGGTTAACATACCTCAAATTTACAGCTTCAAAGGAGCCGATATGATGGAAGAAACCAGATTTCATGGTAGTAAACACAAACAACCAAAAACGTGCTTCAAGAGCCAGTGGAAGTCTGGAAGACATGCGGCAAACGCATAAGACTTGTGCATTCTGCTTATGCAGAAAACACATTTGGCACTCTTTTGAGCATTTCCTCAGTGAGGCAACACTAACGCTATTGAACCAGCAGAATTTTTATTCTGGGATCAACGATCATTCAGGATTAAACAGCCTGGTTCACTATTGACTACAGTCTCTCTAACCTTTAGGGCAAATATTAAAATAGCAAGCCATGTAAAGAAAGCAAAAATCTGAATCAATCGTGTTTCCACAGATCTTTTTTTGAGTCAACATTTAAAAGAGGATCAAAGCTTGGAGACCTCAAATGGCCCCTATTTAAGAGGCGTTTCATGCCAGCTCTCACAAATATTGTCAAGATGTAGCTACTTGATAATCTATAGAAGAAGCTAAAGCATAAATCAGTAACAATCAGTCGTAAAAATACAACAAACTGCATTGTTGGAATTAAAAAGACAGTATTTAAAGAAATCAATAATATGCTTCTTTCATGTCACATGACTAGTAGTACAATATGTGCCAAGTCTACTGATTGGCCAATGATTGGCTGTTTTATTGCTATTAACTGTTAACACAAATGATCGTTCCATCATTTCAAAATCTACCAACACATTCTCAGAAAACAAGGCACAAAAGCTGTTACTTGGGCGGTACCTTTTCAAAAGGAACTACACGTAGGTACTAATATGCAACCGTTGAAACCTTTTAAAAAGGTATAACCACAGTGACAGTGAGCTTTTAAAGCTTTTTTTTTTAGAGTGCAGGTAAGTGCAATTATTTAAAATACATGTTGAGTAAATTTAGTAAATTTTTTCCCTTTTTTTAAAAAAGTGGTTGACCACAGCACTTTTCATTTTTTCTCCAAGGCTGTTTTCACCCTTACAGAACACAGACAGCCATGAAACACTTAGTAAACATGTTCTGAGGTATGACATGCTAAATTTTTCAGTCAGTTCAGTCAGTGAGTTCACGCTGAACTGATAGCTTCATTGATTATAAATTGAGTGCTCTTTGCTTGGTTTCTGTATAAACCCATTCATAATTTGAATAAAAGTTTTATTTTATATGCAGCCAAGTACACAATGCAAAGTTTCGGGAGTGACAACCGTATTAAAATGTGGACTGAATCTGCGATGTTTGATAAAGTAATAACCACAGCAATGGACGGGACAAAAACAATCTGATGTGTCAAAATAGATCCGTGATTAAATCTTGTGCAATGCAATTTTTACATAATTGAACAATATTTGAAGGTTACATGGTAATATTTAATTTACTTATAAGTATTAATAGCGATAATAACTAATTTTATTTCTTTAATATTTTTATTATAAAATAGTAAAATTTTTTAAAAATTAAACGTTTTTGATACGGCATTGAAATTGGTAATGAGAACCGTGGAACTGTATTGGTATTGGTACCGTGACAACAGTAGTTTGTACAGCATTTTTGTTTAAATGGTGCTTTCTGTTTCACTTGAGTAAAGTGTTGCCCAAGAACTCTGAGCTAAAATGGCCACACCGAGACGCGCATATAGATTAATCTAAAAACAGAGCAGTTCCCTCCTTGAGCTGCGACACTAGATATCTGATCCCACTCAACACTACCTAGTAACACGCAAAGCTGAAACCAGTTTGGCCAGCTCAGAGCCGGGTTTGCCAACCTATAAACTTGTGAAAAAGATGACGGCTGATACGGCTGATACGGCTGCTTCATTCTGATCACGACAGGTGTGACAGGATGCAGGGCCTCATTCCAGCTCATATCTCACCTTATCAGTTTAAACCCCACATCGACTTATTTCACATACAAACAACCCCAGGACTCACTCAATATCACATATGCAGCTCTACAACACCCCTGAAATATATAGAATGCAACTGCAAAGATTTATGGTACTTACACATTAATTGTAACATTAAAGAAACACGTCATAAGGAATAAGAATTAAAACACAATTGAGGATTGTATCATGTCATTTTCCCACCTCTCATGCACCAAACAAGCATTAAAGTTCCTCTTCTGCTGCTGTCCCTTCTGTTTGTTTTACTGACAACTTTATAAAATCTCTCTTTTACATTATCTCTAGTCTATTTTAAATAGCACCCAACAGCAGACAAACAAGCCACCGTATTTGTTATTCCAAAGGAAAATATGAAAAAAAAATCAGAGTAAGAGATTAAAACACTCTCCATACCATAATAAAAAGTTGTCCAATTTGTCCAAAGTTTGGAATGGAATGCAATGCAACAAACAACTGACTTTAACATGCACTTTCTCTTCTGTTCTGCTTTTGAGCACCCAAATTATGGCAAAGTCTAACACACAATTCTCATTTATCGTTCTATGGAGTCAGCAAGACATTTAAGGAACTCTTGTCTTGCCCAAGATTCATTATAGACATTGATATAAATGCAAACATTGTGCATAAATGAATTCATTTTTGCGTTTGATTACGGAGTTCTCCAATAAAATATATTTCCTCTAAGGGTACAATGCACTAAAAATGGAAAAGTTTTTCCTTTGTGTTTTTGAAAAGTTTTGCCTACAGATGACAATGTTGTCAAAACAATCCTTTCTCACTTGGACCCGCAAAAATGACTACAAAAAAGCTGTATTATGCATGCCAGGCCAGTAGTTGGCGATGTCACTTTGTAAAGCAACACTATGCGTTTACGCCTGTAGACTGAACATGTAATAGGTATGTGCAGGACGTCACCATTCTCACAAATTTGCGTTTTGGTAGGTTACATGGAGACGATAACAGTATAATTTTCAAAAACTTGCACTTTGAAACGCGGCTTTGAAAGTGTATAAACGAACGGCCAAATTGCATAAATTTTTTTCTGTTTTAGTTGAAAATGGTGTCGTGTAAATGCTCCCTACATGCCTATATATCCCAAGATTAAGTGTGAGTAGATACTGAATTAAATATCTTTTCCAGCTGTTGCGTGTAGTGTTTCAGTACAGTATGTGATGAAGCTATCATATATTTATCATTTATACAAGGCACCAGCTGAAAATAATATCACACAACAATTATACCACTGTGTGTTTTAATATTTCCTTTTTTCCATTCATTGTTATTGCATAATTATTCAGCTTTAAAGACACTTCATTCTGAAGTGAGCAAATTGTAATATTTTAAATGTAACAGTTAGACATAACCTAAAATAAGGACGAATATCTGCACACATTTAGAATGCAAACTACTTCACATAAATAGAATGGCATTAATTATATTATATTATAATATTATTGACTAAGAATTTAATTTTATTTAGTTATTATTGTGTCAGTAGATAAGTATTATGTCCTGCATATTAGTTACCGGACACTTACACAGACAATTTGCCTTAAAAAGGCCAATTTAATGCAATCGATCAATAAACAAACAAACAAACAACTTCCACAGCCACAAGATCACAGATAATCAACCTAGATAAAAAAAAAAAATAATTAAAAAATAATTAAAACATTTATCTCATCAAAACTACATCCAAGTTGAAATCGGAAATAAATAAATAAACCTGGGGATTTACACTTATTTGCATATATACATCGCGTGGCTGATGGCAGTTACTGTATATGTGTTTGTATCAAGTGTTTATTCTGATGGCTGTAAAATACACTGACACCAACACTAACACATCATCATATGATCAGCTTTAAACAACCAAAGACAGAAATGAAAACTCATTAAACCTTCCGAGGTAATATATTTCCCATACAGTCAACACAAACAGGAAAATGTGAATGTAGGCTGAGAGGAAAAAAACACACTTCACTTACCAGTTTAACTTCCGTTTAATTTTTTTTTTTATTGGGAAGCGGAAGAAACATTCCTGATTTGCCTGTAAAAACAACCCGCTCGCGACGCTCTCTTAGGCAATGTTTAATCACAGTCGCGAACGTACGACAGCCTATAGAAACAGTATGGCTGGTGCTCTCTCTGAAGCACCTCTCTCTTCCTCATTTGATTTCGATATAGAGGTTAATTTGGCTGTAACATCGTATGTGCGTCTAATCTGAGGCGGTGCCCGCGGTCGGGGGAGTCAAACCATTGGTTGACAAACAGCAATCAGATGCAAATTCCAAACCTCTGAATCAATGGGGCTGCCTTCCCCCACTCTATAGGCAACATCTACAAATAACTCAACGCTAATAAGTGGAGGAAGGTCCCACACTAAATGACCTTTGCATTAAAGACTTGTGTTTGGGTCTGGTGATATATTTGAGTTGATGACTGAAACCCATTATGAAAAGCCGCCCATTTAGACCCTCGTTCCGTGTCTGTATATGGACATATACGCTATATGATGGTATCTATACATTTGGCGACGTTCCCTGCCAGGGGCCCTTCCCTTTTATCACAGGCACCACTAATGTCTAGCTGCTGCTGGAGTTCTCATGCAAACACATAGAGCTGTATATCTTCGATTATCATTAATAAACAACCTGGTTTGTTTGCCAATAACAACAAAAAAACAAACAAATATTAATAACAATTTACTAATTTAGGTTGAGATTAAAAGCATATGAAAGTCAGTACATTTTAACAGCTTTAAATATGTAAAATACATTTATAAAATATTATAAAATTAAATGTTTATTATATGTAATAGCCAACCTAAAATGCACAAAAGATAAAATATGCATCATTCACATGTACATTTTAAGAGATAGATTATGGTGTTATCTGAAATTATCTGATTAAGTATGATATAAATGTTGTATGTATCAAGTAGAGGCCATTTCCGAGAACGGACGTGTGCACGTCTCAGGTTAAAGTGCAGAAACTTTTGCACAGTATTTAGTTTCCACCTACCGGACAGAGCAAGTATTGCATTTTTGTGGACATATAATATTAACAATCTGAGACAAAAAGGTACAAAAGTTGTCGCTGGGGCGGTACACTTTCATTAAGGTACTAATATGTACCATTTATGTACTAATATGTACCTTTAAGTTACTAATATGCACCTTTTAAGTTTATATTTGCACTTCATCAACCTGGACAAAAAATGTATACATGCTGTTGCATTTCAAAATATCAAACTGTGAGAGGCACACTTTTCATAAAACAAATATAAGTAAAACACACACACACACACACACACACACACACACACACACACACACATGTCTGGTTAGCTATCCTTGTGGGGACTCTTCATAGGCGTAATGGTTTTTCTACTGTACAGACCGTATATTCTATTGCCCTACACCAACCCTACCCCTAAACCTACCCCTCACAGGAAACTTTGTGCATTTTTAGATTTTCAAAAAACTTAATGCTGTGTGATTTATTAGCTTGTTTACCTGTGGGGACCTCAATTTAAGTCCCCACCGTGACACGAGTCCCCATGAGTCTGTGTGTATTCAGGTTTAAGTCCCCACCAGGATATATAAACAGGTACACACACACACACACACACACACTGGTCTGGTCAGCTATCCTTGTGGGGACTCTCCATAGGCGTAATGGTTTTTATACTGTACAGACCATATATTCTATTGCCCTACACCAACCCTACACCTAAACCTACCCCTCACAGGAAACACACACACATTTAAGGAAACAATGGATATACTGTTCAAAATGAAGACAATACATCACTATACACCATGAGTCCAGCTAATTAAAATTCATTGTAAAAACAAAAGTTAGTTCATAGAAAAGCTCTTACCTTTTGTCAGATGCCATGGTTTTGATATATCATATCTAATGAAATGACATACATACATTGTCACTTAGCTGTCATCAAATATTTGATAATTTTTAACAACTTTGTTTTTTAAATGTATTTTTTATATTTATTTTTCTTTATACATTTTTTTTTTATTGCAACTGGAGTACATAATTTTGTGTATTGTTGGAAAGGCACAACGGTTGTTACTATTTTTTATTGGTGGAGCAAAATTCGACAAAATTAACTGGAGATTTGTGTGTGTGTATGTATGCCGAAATATGGCACTTGTTTACTTAATATATCTACATTAATAAATTAATCAATATATTAAAACAGAGAGAGGACGTTCATGTAAAACAAAACAGAATTAAATATTTTCAGGCTAAATATTTGGGGGCTTTTGGTCTGGGGGCACCTAGATTGCTGTATCTTAATCATGCTTGATTTAAGTGCAGCATTTTATACAATAGATCATGACATCCGTCTACAAAGACTTGGTCAAGTAGCTGGGTTTCAGAGATCTGTGCTGAAGTGGTTTGCATCCTACCTTAAGGACAGAACTTTTTCAGTGAATTTGGGGAATTGTTTCTCATCTCAGCCTCAAATCTCCTATGGTGTTCTGTAGGGCTCTTTTCTGGGTCCTCTTTTTTCCCTTATATATGCTTCCACTTGGTCATATTATTCAGAAACATAATTTATCATATCATCTCTATGCCGACGACACTCAGCTCTATTTTCCAGTTTAAAACAATAATTGTTCTAAATAAAAAAAGTCACCAGGGTTGAGCAGGAGCGCTTTCACATTAAGGCAGTCTCCCTGGGCCAGCAGGGCGCCTGGACCCGTTTTTTCAGTGAATTTGGGGAATTGCTTCTCATCTCAGCCTCAAATCTCCTATGGTGTTCCGTAGGGCTCTTTTCTGGGTCCTCTTTTATCCCTTATATATGCTTCCACTTGGTCATATTATTCAGAAACATAATTTATCATATCATCTCTATGCCGACGACACTCAGCTCTATTTTCCAGTTTAAAACAATAATTGTTCTAAATAAAAAAAGTCACCAGGGTTGAGCAGGAGCGCTTTCACATTAAGGCAGTCTCCCTGGGCCAGCAGGGCGCCTGGACCCGTTGGGACGCTACAGTGAATAAGCGCATCAGCTGGGTAGACATCTGGAGAACTCCACAAGCCAGACTCAGCTTTCAGATAAGGGCGGTATATGACACCCTCCCATGCCCCTTAAACCTCACCCGGTGATTTGGGGACGAAGTTGGCTGCTCACTACGTGGTAACACCAGAGCAAGCCTGCAGCATATCCTCTCAGGATGCAAGGTTGCATTGACACAGGGACGATTCAGGTGGCGACATGACCAAGTTCTGGCCAAGCTGGCTGAAGTCCTGGAGAGGGGTAGGGTAGCAGCAAACCACATGCCCGAGACTCCAAAGTTAACACTGGCTTCTTTTGTCAGACCAGGCGACATCCACCTGGTAGCGGCAAAAAGAAACCTCAAGAAGCAGCTGGCCTTCCCAAGAGAAATAACCACAACTACCCTCTGGCCAGACATTGTCATATGGTCAGCTGAGGATAAGAGAGTCTTCATCATTGAGCTGACTATCCCGTGGGAAGAAAACATCACAGCAGCCCATGAAAGGAAACAGTTAAAATATTTTGAGTTGGCAGCGGAGTGCCAGGAGGTAGGCTGGAACGCTAAGGTTTACCCCCGTGGAGGTCGGATGCCAGGGCTTCGTCAGTAGAGCAATGGTGCAAATACTCCGTGAGTCTGGCATGGTGGGGGCAAACCTGCGGAAGGCGGTGAAGGAGTTGGAGGAAGAGGCAGAGAAAGCCAGCTATTGGCTGTGGCTCCGGAGGAAGGATAGTGGCTGGGGGTTAACACCCCGATAAAGGTGGCTGCAGGGGTGGCAGGGATACGTCCCTAATATGCCACTGCCCCCCCGCCGGGAGATGTACTGGTGTAGGTGCGAAACATCGGTGAACGGCGGCAACCAGCTGACGACCCTGCAGCTGACCTAATGGCACTGGAGGAGGTGCGTCAGGCTGAAAAGCCACGCAGGTAGAACAGCTTATCTGTGCTATTGACTATGTCTAATCTGTTTGCATGTCTTCAGGACATTAAAGGCTGGATGTGGCAGCGGAGTGCCAGGAGGCAGGCTGGAACGCTAAGGTTTACCCCCGTGGAGGTCGGATGCCAGGGCTTCGTCAGTAGAGCAATGGTGCAAATACTCTGTGAGTCTGGCATGGTGGGGGCAAACCTGCGGAAGGCGGTGAAGGAGTTGGAGGAAGAGGCAGAGAAAGCCAGCTATTGGCTGTGGCTCCGGAGGAAGGATAGTGGCTGGGGGTTAACACCCCGATAAAGGTGGCTGCAGGGGTGGCAGGGATACGTCCCTAATATGCCACTGCCCCCCCGCCGGGAGATGTACTGGTGTAGGTGCGAAACATCGGTGAACGGCGGCAACCAGCTGACGACCCTGCAGCTGACCTAATGGCACTGGAGGAGGTGCGTCAGGCTGAAAAGCCACGCAGGTAGAACAGCTTATCTGTGCTATTGACTATGTCTAATCTGTTTGCATGTCTTCAGGACATTAAAGGCTGGATGAACTTGAATTTTTTACAGTTAAATAATGATAAAACTGAAATAATGGTTTTTGGTCCAACAGTTGCGTCTTCTGACATTGTTAAGCAGCTTGGTCCCCTCTCATCAAATGTACGTGAGTGTGTTTGAAACCTTGGTGTTGCTTTTGATCCCACGCTGTCTTTTGTTAAGCAGATCAGTGCTGTTGTGAAAAGCAGTTTCTTTCAATTAAGGTCAATTGCTAGAATCAAGAAAATGCTTTCCATTAAGGATCTTCAAACTCTAATTCATGTGTTTATAACTTCAAGATTGGATTACTGCAACTCACTCTATCTGGGTTTGCCTAAATCATCTTTGGATCGATTGCAATTGGTGAAAATGTGATCACATTACAACAATACTCGCCTCTCTACACTGGCTACCAATAAGCAAGTTCCGTATTGATTTTGAGATTTTGCTTTCTGTTTTTAAAGCTTTACATGGTTGTGCTCCCCAGTATATTTGTAATCTCCTCATCCCTCATAATACCTCTATATCTCTTTGGTCGTCTAGTCAATTTCTCCTCTCAGTCCCTCGTTCACATTTTAAAACCAAAGGCGACTGGGCCTTTGCTGTGGCAGCTCCTAGGCTCTGGAACAGCCTTCCCCTCCACATAAGATCTTCCCTTTCTATTTTTTTGTTTAAAT